GCACATTCCCGGGGTCACGTCTTGGGACATCACACTGTATAGGATGCAGGTCGGGATCCCACTATCTCACCCCAGCAACCAGAGACCCAGCCCTTAAATAATTTTCAGCACAAAGTCATGTTTCCTGTACATTTTTTTCTATGACGTCAGTACACATTTCTTGAGGACCATGGCATGTACCAACTTTTTAAAAATATTTTTTTTTAGAGAGGGAAGGGAGGGAGAAAGAGAGAGAGAGAGAAACATCCATGTGCAGTTGCTGGGGGCCGTGGCCTGCAGCCCAGGCATGTGCCCTGACTGGGAATCGAACCTGCGATGCTTTGGTTCGCAGCCCGCGCTCAATCCACTGAGCTACACCAGCCAGGGCTGGCATGTACCAACTGTTGCATGTATTAAAGAACGTTTCATTGCACTGGGCCTGTGCACGTGGAATAATTCTGATTTCTTGCACTTTTGGTGTGTGGCTACGGATGCTGTTTGACCAAGTCGTAACATTTTACCATTTGTCCCTTAACGCCTGGATTCCGTGACTTGGATGGGTATTGACCAACCCATCGCCGTTCCTCCCGCACTCCCGTGTTGGCCCCCTGACCCGTGGCCTCACCGCCGTGGAGGAGGTGCGTGGGCCGTGCAGCGTGATTGGCATTTGTCACCGCAACTGGTCATTCTGTGCGAGTAAAGCGCTATTACGTGGAATCCTTTTTCGGTGGTTTTGTGGCTGTCTTTTGCTGTCTCTGCTTCCGTGCAGAAAACGAGCATTTCTCTCAGGGCCGCTGCGGGTTTTATTAACTCCTGCGATGCCGTGATTGACAAGAGGCACGGGTTTCGATGGCCGGCCTGCTTCCCGGCCCCCAGCGCCCCAGCCCCTAGGAATTCCCTGGGCGACAGAAGGGACTGGAACATCGGCTGCTCCAGTGTCCAGGTCCCTTCTCCTGTCCTCCTTGCGTTCAAAGATAAATCACTTCCGAGACACAAAGCCGGAGCAGGTGTCTTCCTGTGTGTACACAGTACGAGCTTTCGACCACACCTGTGCGTGTGGCCGAGATGACCCTGGGCAGGTGCCCAACGTGGGGCAGATGGTGGGGGGACCCCAGCAGGAGCAGGGCTCAGCACCTGCAAGTTCACCCAGTGGTCTCGGACGGACGGAGGTGGGGCCGGGGGCCGGAGACGGAATGCGTCCCCAGTGGCCAAGGATTTCACCCGTCGCCATCATGCCTTGAGGCCCGCATGTATTCCCAAAACAAGGTCGGGGGCACAGACCCCAGAATTGGGGAGCAGCATGCACCCATGACTCACCAGCCTGGAACTCCGTGGTGACAGTCGCCATTGTTCCCCTCACTTGCTTGTGGGCTCACGCCCTGTATCACATACCAGGGGTCTGGGGAGAAACTCCTTTCCTGAGCTTCTGGGAGCTGGTGTACCCCGAGTCACTCAAGCCAGAGAGGGGACCGGGGGTGCCCAGCTGGTCGGAAGCACAGGTGACACCCTGTGCCCGCTGTCAGCGCTGACGGGGAGGACGGTTTTCCGGGACGGAGCCCCCATGTCGAGAAATCAGTGGCTGTGTCTGGCAGAGAGGGGCCGTCCCAGGTATATGAAACCGTAGCGTGTCAGGGAAGTGCTCGGTGGTGTGTGTGGGGGGGACCCAGACCCACCCATGGGGACGGGTGACCCGAGTTGTTAGCTACGTAAATGCAAAGCATGCTGCATAGATGTTCTAAGGCTTGCGTTCCTCATCCGTGTTATGGGGAGGATATGCCATTTTCACCCATTGTCAGAAAAATAAAAAAGCTCAGTGAGATGACGTCTGTGGAAAACTGCAGTGCACTTTCAGCACGCTGTGGGCACACAAAATAATGGTTCTCTTTCTTTTTAAAAGATTTTATTTATTTACTTACTTCTTTACTTATTTATTTATTAGGTGGGGAAGACTGGGAGAAAGAGAGGGAGAGAAACATCCATGTGTGGTTGCCTCTTGAGCGCCCCCTACTGGGGACCTGGCCCATAACCCAGGCACGTGCCCTGCCTGGGAATCGAACTAGCGACCCTTTGGTTCACAGGCTGGTGCTCAGCCCACTGAGCCACACCTCCTGGGGCTGCAGTAACTGTTTCCTGTAGCGCTGCCATGAGCTTCCTTTCACAATGGGTGGTGTGTTCCTTTCCAGGACTGACCGAGGCCAACGAGCCTTCGGAAGGAAGAAGATGATTCTCGGAGACACGCAGAGTCCAAGCGTCACTGGGTCACGGCTCCTGGAACCTGATATAAGACAGTTTTCAGGAAACGTCAGTGCTCCTCCAGCACGCACGGGCCCTCTTGGTTACGTCGCCTGCGTGTCATCCCGGACCTGGGGCTGATGAGAGAGAAGAAGAAAACGAAGAGAGAGGAAAACAGACAGAGAGAGGAGAGAAAAGAAAAGAAAGGACATTGTTTCAGTTATTTTTGTTTGTGTGTTTCATGAAACCCCGTTTCCGTGTGAGTTTAAACATATGACCCAGGAGTGAATTTCTTTTCCTTCCAGTGGCCAGTGTGAGATCAATACTGCTCTGTGGTCCTGAAACCCACGTGCTTTCCCCAAGGACGGCGGACCCCGGGGAGCCATCAGAGAAGGCTGGCGATGGCCATCGTCCGGCCCCTGCACACGGAGGGCTTCACCGGCCCGAGCGTGGTGCCCACGATGGGCCCCCCTCCCTGCGCGTGGGGGTCCCGCCCCTTTATGCCCTTGTTCAAAACCACACCCCTTCATGTCAGACCAGACGGCCGAGCACCCCGAGGTTGGGTTCATCGCCCTCGCTGACAGCTTCCCGGCGGTCGGACGCGTGGGGGACACCATCCGTCCACAGTGACACGGCGCCGGTGGGAGGGCAGCCCGACACGGCCCGGCTTTCCGGGCCGCGGGAAACGCCGCCGGGCCTGTGCGCTCTCCGTTTCTGAACGGTCCCCCGGGGAACGTGTGTGTTTGCATCGACACGTTCGCATCCACACTGCCTGCCGTGTGCCACTGACGGGGCAGGCATTCGGGGACACAGTGAACACCACGACGGTGTGAGTGGTTCCTAAATATCTGCCCGGCCGGAGAAGAAAATGCGTCCTTCCATGAAACATGTATTTCTTCTACCTTGAAAGTACACATTCTTTGGTGTGCCTCTTTTGTGCAAAGGCTGTTTTTATACGGACTATCTCCTTTCACTGTGCACCAGGAAGCCCAGGAGAGAGCCGTAGTGCATCCTGTTGAACCCTCTGACCCCTGGGACACACGCAGAACACCACGGACGCCCCACCGAGTCCCAGGTAACCGGGGGGGACCTGTGACCTGACACCAGCCCCGCTGTCCCCTTATTGGCCACGCCCCCCAAGGTTCCTTCTCTTAAAGCTCGTGAAAGCCCTGGCTGGCGTAGCTCAGTGGATTGAGCGCGGGCTGCGAACCAAAGCGTCGCAGGTTCGATTCCCAGTCAGGGCACATGCCTGGGTGGCAGGCCACGGCCCCCAGCAACCGCACATGGATGTTTCTCTCTCTCTCTCTTTCTCCCTTCCCTCTCTAAAAATAAATAAATAAATAAAATCTTTTCAAAAAAAGCTCGTGAAAAACTGCCACTCTGTGTCACGGCAGCGAGAAGTGACACCCCCTCGGGTGCCTGAGCGTGCGTCCTGCACGCAGAAGCAATTGCGGGGGAGCCCCCGCAGGAAGGGGACAGGACCTCCCGCCCCTCCGTCCGCAGCGGAGTGCGGACGCCCCAGAAATAACTGTCAGGAAAGCGGACGTGAGCTGGGCGCATCTTGCCCGTGGAGTCGCGTGTTAGCCTCCCGCCAGAACAACGTGGAGGTGGGGATTGTCTTTGGTTCCTCCCCCTCCCCCAAGCAGCGGTTGGGACAAGGTGTTTCCACGCACGCCCGTGGCCCCGCGCCACCAGAACGCACGCAAACCGTCTCTCGGTCCAGAACCCGCGTTCCCATGGCCACCACGCAGCGTCCGCTCGCGCATGGACTTGGGACGTCACACCTTGTCCACATCGAGTGCCGCTTCTCTGGGCCCCGACGGCAGTTGTGAGGCCGTCTCGGCACACGCGAGGGCCGCTGAGAAAGGTCCACTCCCGGGCCCCTGAAGTCCAGAGGGGCGCTGGCACCCAAGTGGCCGGTCGCAGCTTGCCCTATAGCCTGTATTTCATGGGTCAGAAAGCCCTTAGTGGGCGAGAAAAAACAAACACGGCAGAGGCGTGAGCCGAGAGGGCGAGAGGGCTGCGGTGTGGCTCAGCTGGTGCGGCTCAGCTGGGGCTGCTCTGCCCCGAGGGGACCCCGCTGGGTTGCCAGTTTGGTCCCCGGTCTGGGCGTGGGGGAGAGGCCACCAATGGATGCTTCTTTCTCACATGGAGGTGTCTCTCTTGCTCTCTCTCTCCCTCCTTTCCCCTCTCTCTAAAAGCATTCTCGGGTTCAGTATTAAAGAAAACACACACACACACACACACACACACACACCTTCAGGCATCACCTGGGCATAAGAGAGGTAGGTGTCTGACCTTTGTGAATCTTTATTCTCATTTAGCTGCCCTCCCCAGGGGGATATCACGGCTTCGAACATTTAAAAAAGAAATCCCAGTGACCCCCAGCAGGAGCAGCGCGGGTCGGCCTGACCAGCCCACACGGCTCCCCCCGCCCCCGCCCCCGCCCCCAGGCCGGGCCCCGCTGCGGAGGCGGCCCGAAAGAGTTAAAGGGGTTTGCAACTCTTGCGCGGCGCTTGGTGCAGAGCGCAGGGCGCAGAGCCGCCGCCGGAGCAGGCTGGCCTGCGCGCCCCCCCTGCCTGGGGGGCCCCCCCGCGTGACGCTCACCTGTGCCGCCACCCGGGCGGCGGGAGGACCTCCGGGCTCCGGCCGGTTTGCGCCGGGATTAGCTGCTCTTTCCCGGGGCCGGCGGCGGCGGCTCGGGGAGCGCAGGGCCGGCTGCGGGCGGCTATTGGCTGCTCGCTCCCTGAATTTCATTCAGTTTGGTCCAATAGCGCAGGGGGAGCGCGGAGGCCATCTCGCCTCTGCTCGCCGCCCGGCCTGCGCGTCTCCGGCACAGAGGTCTCATTCAGACCGCGCGCTGCCCTTGCTCTTCCCACCACGGGGCTGCTTGCCATCGCCGACCCCCACGGCCACGGGCGACCCCGACCGCGGATTGCCTGCCCCAGGGCCGTGTCCCGGGCGCGGGTCGGGGGTGGGGGGTGGTCCTCGCATTCCTTCGGAGACGCGAGCCGAGCTGGGGGTGGGAGAAAGCCGAGGAGCTGGAACGGAATCCATCCTCCCCGCTCGCTCGCTCGCACCTGGTAGGGTCTCCGAGGAAGATCCGGGTGCGTAAAAGGAACAGTCCGCCGACGCAGCTTCTCCGCGGCTAAGGTAGGTGCCGTTTTTTTTTTTTTCCCCCACATGTGTGTCTCCGGGTGATGCATACATTTATTTATTTATTTATTTATTTATTTATTTATTTATTTATTTATTTATTTATTTTCGGAAGCCTTTGAAACATTGGGACTCGAATGCGCTCGCTGCCCGGCCAACGGCGACCCATCTCTCTGCAAACGTTTGCGCTTGAATTCATCAGACATTTTTTTCTTCTTTTTTTTTTTTTTCGTGTGCCCCTTTTCTTCTTCTGAAAATTTGGACAGCATGTTCCCCCATCTGTCGCTGCATTTTTTTAGGTGTGGGAGGGAGTGTGGACCTACGTAGACGGACAGACAGCGTGTCTGGGCAGGCTGCTGCCCATGTCCACGGACATGTTCCAGGGTTGTCTTGTTTGTTTGTGTGTGTGGACTTAAAGAAAATAAGATCGGGGACGGCCGCGGCTGGGCGGCCTTTTGCTGCAATCGGCTGTCCGCGAGGCCCCCGGGCCGCCGTGTGTGAGGTGTTTACCGAGGAGCGCTGCCCTCCATACAAATAAACAGAAGAGTGTGCCGGGCGGAGGACGGCGCGCACACACACACAGACACAGCCGCAGTGTGCCGGAGGCTCGGAGCGGGCGCCGGGTCCCCGCAAACCCGGGCCGCAGGTGGGCCAGGCAGGACGACTTCCCGAAACTGGGAGCAGCCGGGGGCTCCCCCTCCTGCTGGAAGGCAGCTGACGGCTCCTGCCTCCCGGGGTGCTTTTTGGGGGGTTAACCACAGAGGAACCAGGAAAACGGGCTTGGCCCGGGTGGGGGGGGGCATCAAGCGATCCCCCCTCCCCCCCACACACACACCAGCCCCCCTTTCTCTGGTGCCTGGGACCAGAGGAGGGCTTGTGCGCGACACGGCGTTACGCACGTGATGGATGAGGGACCTGGCCGGGGTTTGCTGGGGACCCGGGCAAGCTCGAGACCCCGGGGCCCGGAGCGGGGGAGGGGGCGACATCTCGGTGGCTCAGTGCTGGTCCTGCAAAGCTGGGGAGCCGGCTGCCCGCCCCTCTTTCCTCGTGCGTGTGGGTTGGGGGAGAGAGAGGCCGGCGGCAGAAGGCGCGGGGGTGGGGGGGTAGTGGTTTTTCCTTTTTTGGAAGCGGTGGGGTCTGGCCTGGCGCTGTGCAGCGGGCACGCAGCCCCGTCGCGACCTGCCCGCGTTTCTGGGCGACGACAAAGTTGCCGGCTGCGGGCGAGCCCGGCTTCTCGGGGGATGCGGGGGGCCCCCGCTGGCGCCCACAGAGGGCCCCGGGGCCCGCGAGCAGAGCCTGCGGACCGCACCACCGGCCGGTCGCCTGCTCGTGGCGGGGGCTGGGGGCTGGGTGGTCAGTGCCGGTCTGTGGGCCAGCGCCAGGACCTCGGGCAACGGAACAGATACGTCCCACCCCTAAGCTGTGTGCTGTCCCGCGCTTCTAAGGTTCCCCCCCGCCCCCCGCCCTCGCTCACGATCTCCCGGGCCGATGGCATCCTCGACCCCCCGACCCCCGCCTTTCTGCGCGGCTGGTCTCGGCCGCCGCTTATTCCAGCGGGAAGACCCGAGAGCGAGAAGCAGCCAAGCCCGCAGCCGCAGCCTGCGGGCCGGGGGGCGGCCGTGGGGGTGGGCGAGGGGCTGTGAGCCCCCCCCCCGGGCCAAACCAAGTGAACTTGAGTCCCGCCCTCTCCCCAAGGCTGCGGCGGCGCCCCCCCGCCCCCCCCCCACCGACCTGCGCCCGCGCTCGCGCGGCCTGACCTGCGGAAGCGCGAGTGGGGTGCGGGTGGAGTGGGAGGTGCCGCCGGGCAGAGCATGCGGGGGTCCGGGGCCGGCGGCGGGAGGAGGGGCCGAGGTCCCCGCCTGTGCCCGCGCCCGCGCCCCGCGGCGGTTTCCTCCCCCTCCGCTCGCCGGGACGCGGGCCGCCTCGCCGCGCGCACTCGCTCTCCACTCTCCTGGACACCCCCGGCCTCTGCGCTCTCGCCCCCGACCTGCCCCGGCTGCTGCGCCCCGCAGAGAAGTGGTAAGGCGGCTTCCCTCCCGCGGGGGTCGCGAGCCGACCCCCGGGGGGGTCGCGCCTCCGGCTTGGGGCCCCGTGCGGCGCGCGGTCCTGGGCCCCGGAGCTCCATGCCGGCGCCTGCTCGCCGCTAGACACAGCGCCCTTTCTTCCCGGGGCGGCGGGGGGCGGCCGCCGGGGGTCCCTCCGGCCCCCGCCGCCCCGGGGCCTGGCCGGGACCGCCGTGGGAACGGATGTGCCGCCTGGAGGGCGAGGGCCCGGGAGGACGTGCTGTGCATCTAGCCGGCCCCTTTCCTGGTGCCTCCCCCCCACCCCTTTCTTCTTCTTCTTCTTCTTTTTTTTTTTTTGGTTACCGGTTTCCTTTTCTCCGACTCCTTCTTCTAAAACCGACCCGCGGGTGAGGGCTTGCTTTATTTTTGGAGCCACGCGGCGGCTATTTCGGGACCGGCGACGGAGGGGGTACGGGGGGTGGGGTGTCCAGCGGGCGGCGGTGGGGTGGCCCCGCCATGCGCCCTGGCTTGCAGCTGGCCGCCGGCGCGGGGCGCGCGCGTAATGCCCGAATCCCGGTGCCTGCGCGAGTCTGGGGCGCGCGGCGACGGCTGATCCCCCAGGTGTCCTTTGGATGCGGCTTAAATTGGGGGTGCCGGTCGGTGGGTGCGGGGGCCACCGAACTAATAAGCAGGTGCTGTTTTTGCGAGTAGAATCCACAAGGTGGTAGTATGGATTCTTCTTTTGATGTGATGTGATTTTTAAAAAAAAATTTGGTCAGTTGTGGGGGGGTGTGCTGGTTCATGGTCTCATATAGTTTGCGTTTTTGAAGGGGGTTCACCACCCAGAGCGCGTTGCATTCGACTGTTTTCTAACGGGAGGGGGCGCGAGCCAGCTTCCTCCTTCGGATGAGCCCTCACGGTGATTGGAGGGGACCCCAAAGGGTGGAAAAAAGAGGGAGAAAAGAAAAAAAAAGTTTGGGGAGACCTAGGCACCCCGAGGAAGCAGAATCTCCAGGGTGGGCAGGCGTGGTGCAGGCAGCGGACAGGAGCACGCCTGAGACATTTTTGGGCAGGCACCTTCTTCAGCTGCAAAATAGGACCCGCCAGCGCGCAAAAAAAAAAAAAAAAAAACCAAACCCCTGACTTTCAATCACGACAAAGAGACGTCAGCTGCTCAGAGAGCTGCCTGGTTTCCGGGGAGATGCTTCGCGTTAAGGAGAACGCGGTGCGGAGCCGGGAGACAGGGTCTCTGAGCCTGCCCTTTCTCCGCGCCGTTTTCCGAGATTTTTGGCGTGGGCGGGCCTGGGGAGTGGAGAATGATTCCATGCCTTTCGCTGCCTGTGGGCAGAAGTGCAGAGCCACCCTCCTAAGGGTCAGGAGATGGGTCTCTGTGTGGAGAGGGCGGGAGGCTGGGGGTGGGCCGGTGGGCTGATGGCCCGTGCACGCCAGCACGCCTTAACTCCAGAAAAAAAAAAAAAATCCTCGTATTTAAAATCTGTCCCCAAAGGAAGAACAGAAGAATTCCGCCAAGGCCTCTGCCTGTGTATATAAATAGGTGTATAGATATATATTTTTTTTCAGGTTACAAGCTCAGTATTCTATGGCCCAAGTAAACGTCGGGGAATGCATATCCGCCCGGGTGGGTGAAAGTGGCTGTACAGCCGTGAGCCCGAGAAACAACAGAGCTGACTCTCGCATTGTGATTTATTTATTCATTCATTACCATATTGTTTTCCACACCAACACCTGCAGCCCCCGCGCCGGCCCACCCTGTACGCACGCACCTGTCTCTGTGGCCAGTGCCGAGGGCGTCTCCCTGGATATTCCAGGCCATGATCCCGGCCACCCCGAGGGGGTGGAAAATCTCCCCATCGGTTTCCCATCCCGGCACGCCTGCCCCGTGAGAATAATTCTTATTTCCGTGTCTCAGAAACGGGAGGGTTTCGAGCAGCGGGGATTTCACGACGACGTTCTTCTTGGGTGCACGGACGTGTCGTTCTTGGGGGGAGGAGTGGTTCCTTCTCCTTCGCGGTGTCTCGTTTCCCAAACGAAATCAGGGTGAGCATACGTGGGTCCCGGACAGCAACAGCCGTCCAGCGGATTGCGACCCGAATCTAAGCCTGGAAAAGATTCCTGCTAGGGTGGCCACGTGCTGCGTCAGGCAGATGAATGGGGGTGGTCCTTGCCGTGACCCTGACGAGTGAATAAATACCCTTGAGCACGATCGAAGTTTGTTTAGTTGTGTATTACTTCTTTTTTTTTTTTTTTGGCTTGGAATGTAGACTTAAGTACTTTTTTTTTTTTAAATTTCTGAACTTGGCCTTGTAACTTTATTTGCTGGGTTGTCACTGGTGGGAAGTGAACTGTTCTCTGCTGGGTGGCGGTAGTGGTTACTGAGGGCGTGTTAGTTTTACATTGCTCTCAGAGTGGTGGGCGGGGGTGGGGGGTGGGGGAGTCTCTTCTGGAACTCTTCCGAATCTGGTGCTTTTGTGCCTCGAACACGCCAGAACCCCGAGTGAGGTCAGGTGGCCCCACTCCGCCCCTTGGGTGGGGTGCTCTTGGCTTGGCGCACCTCCGCCTGAAACCTTGATTATCGCACGTTTCGTCGTTTCGTCGTGGCACTTGCTGATGGAGTTTATTTTGTTGCAATGAAGCAGCACGTTGGAAACCGATGTGACAATATTATGAGCGCTTGCCTGCCTTCCCACGCCGATCTGGTTCGAACGTGCTGAAGTTCCGGAGCTGGTGACAGCCGATGGCAGGCATGTGGAAGTCTGGGGGAAGCCAGGCCTTATTTTTTTCTATAAGGAGGGGAAAAAAGTATGGTCAGGGTTTCGTTTAAATCAGTTGCCGTCGTTTCGTTCCTCCTTCTCCTTTTTCTTTTTCTTCTTTTTCTTTTTCTTTTCCTTCTCTTCTCTTCTCTCCTTCTTTTCTCTTTCTTTCTGGAAACTATCTTTTCAGAAGAGAGACTTCATCTTCTCTTGAGATGGGCGA